TCTTCAATACTGCGAAAGGCTAAGAAGATTAAATCTACCATCACTTGAGTTTCAACGCTTTCGATGCAATTTAATCCAAATTTTTAAATTAATACATCGTTTTGATATAGTTAATGATAAATATCTATGTCACGTGGTCACCATTCTAAAATAAGGCGTGAGTATGTTCCAAACTGTCTTCCAAGATATAATCATTTGTATAATAGATCAGCAAAATACTGGAACGAACTACCAGAGCAAATAACTTTGTACTCCACTGTACTTTCCTTCAAAAATAGACTAGACTCCTGGTTGTGGAACAAGTTTGGAACAAATATTTATAAAACTGGTTGTTTATAGTGGGGTGTTTTCCCTGCTTGTTGTATGTGTACATTCTATGTAAATTTACGGCTACAACTATAATAATAATAACTCTAGAGAGAGGTGTTTTTTATTTTTGGCAAATCTTTTCTCATATTATTGTAAAACAATGGCAATGTTCAAAAAGAGTTTGAAAATTCAAAGTTCAAAATTTCCTTTCTATAAAATTTTATTATTTAAAAAAAAAACGGCTTTAACAAAAACCTCGTTAATCCAACTTTTGAATAAAAAATCGGAAAGATTTTAAAACAAGAAGTCTTCAAATTACGTCAACAATTGTACATAAAGGGTCAAAAATGCATGTTTATAATAACTTCACTCCCCAGAAATGCAACAAAAATAAAAATTTCATGGTTTATGCAGAACAGCTCGGATATTTTAGAATCATATGAGCAGCTCAGCAACCTTGACGTAATTTATGAACGACCCTATACGACTGCGCGTAAAATAACAAATTTGATCATGAACAATTGAAAGGGCATAAATTTATGCCCTTTCAATTGTATATCGGACTGACTGTGTAAAAGGGTCAAATTTGTCAACTAATTAAATTAAAAAACTCATTGATGGGAGGCGTCACACACCCCTTTTGCGCCGGCCTTAGGCATAACGTAAGAGTTAAGGTAAATAATTTTTGTTATTTAATCAACTCAACATTTTTAGCAATTAACCTTTTTTATAGCAATTTGACGCGAGTTGAGTTGCTCAAAAAAAAAGAATATGAATAAATTTTGAAGATCATTTTAAAAGGTTTTCTGCTTTATTGTCATTTGTTAGATTTTTCATTATGATTAAAGCTCAATGACTTATATAGCATCTGATACAAAGACAATTTTAGTAAGGGTGTTTTACCCCCCCTCCCTCCAAAGGTATTTTATAAGTTATAGTCAGTTTTTCAACGAATATACCCGGGTATTTGACACAGTTCAGTTGGGTGAATTTTAGTTTTGATTTATCAACATAAAACATTTCTTAATTTTTACATTAATTTTAATTAACTAAAGATCCGTGGTTCAACTCTGGGCAAGTTTTATAAAAACGGTAAGGAAGGAGGCGTTAACCTCCTTTTAAATGCTCTTCCGCGGTGCTCTAAAAAGTTGTTCTCATACTCAGGGGCATTCTTAACTAAATTTGGTTAAGAATGTTTTCAAATGATTTTTAAACTTTTTAAACTTACCAGATGGTTTTCTAAATATGTTATTAATTATTATGCTTTTTTTTTCTAGTCAATTATTTGATAATCATTATTTTGAAAAATATTAATAATTTAAATGCAATTTTTTTAAATTGTTTTTAATATCTAATATCTTAATCGATTAAGATTTATTTTATAAAATAATAACTACTTGTCAGAATATAATAAACGAGACCTTGTTTTTTTTGTTAGAGAGAAGACTCTCGTATTAAAGAAAATAATAATTAAAAAAAAAAGTTGTCACTTGATCGAAAATATACCATATTGAATAAACAAAAGTATATAATTTCTTAAGTTAATCTTAAAATAAATAAATTAATAAATTCATAATAAAAAAATAGATAAATTCATAAACATATATTAAATAAGATAGGCATTTATTCTTATTTTTCTTCTTCTTCTTGTTATTATTATTATTATTGTTATTATTATTATTATTATTACTATTATTATTACTGTTTGAAAGTTTTTGTGGAACGAAAAAACTGACAAGTTCGAGTTGACGCGTGATTTTAAATTTTGTTCGATTAGGTCTGCTTTTTTACGGCGTTCTTCAAGTGTTGCTAGACCGAGCAGTTCGAGTCAATTTTCATAGGACAGGTGTTTAATAGATGATATTGTTTTTGTTACTTAATATTGGACTTGTTCGAGGATAGCAATGTCGGATTTTAAATGTGACGACCATTTAAAGTCCGACCTGGCTTGAACAGCAATCACGAGGTGGGGGCAAATGTAAATAAGATACAATGTGCTTCATAAATAAAAATTGCGACTCCGAAATGTTTTTTTGAGTCGCCCTAGCATTCTATTCGCAATTGATGCAGCTGACTCTACTTGTGGTCTGACTTAAAGGTCTTTGGAGACTATCACACCAAGGTCTTTTTGAGTGGATAACGCGTACCGTCAGTACAGTCTTTTCGAGTGGATAACGCGTGCCGTCAACGTTAGCTATTGAGTAACTGTGCGTCAACTTGTTACAAGTTCCTTACAGGCAGACACTTTCCTTCAATGTTGCCTGGTGGCAACGTCGAAGGAAAGTGTCTGCCTGTAAGTCTATCAAAATCCTTTCCAACTACAAGACAAAGGTTGTGAGGGATCTCAGTGAAAATATCAGCTTTATGTTACTCAGCAAAAAATCCAAGTATGAAACGTGTCTGCCAGTACTATGTGTATAAATCTTTTGTCAATTTAAAGCACATTGAAGATTTAGACGAAAAGCTAACTACTTGTACCATCTATAGGATTTTTGAAGAGCCTGAATTCCATATAATTGCTGCTCTACCCGGTTAACACCACCTATATGCATATTATATGACTTGACCATTGATGGTTTAAGTATAATATTACCATCTTTATCAAATTTTCCTCTTTCCGCCATCACTGGATTGTGATATGTTGACAGCAGTAAACAACTTTTTGTTTATTACCCAATTTGTCTTTTGTTGCACGATATTTGCAAGCTAACATTTTATTGTTTTTGCTGCAAGTTTTTTAAAAAAACAGCAGTCCCTTTTACAAGTTGCTCATTTAATATATTTTTGCTGCAGTGTTTTCGGTTTGCGCAAATAGTTCCACAAATACAAATCTTCTTGGACAAGAGGAAGCTGGCAAGAGAAGGGCTTGTATAGTAATTATTGTAAAACTGTATGACCTTTATTTAGAAATGGCTTCATCAGCTCTATTGTAAACGTTGGCTTAATGGCATTGTAGAATTTTTGTCATCATCATACATCCCAGTATTACAGTGCACTAGGAAATCAAGTGTAATACCATCAGCTATAGTCAACTCATATACCTTTATTCCAAATCGTGCTCTTTTTGTCTTTATATATTGACGAAAATGCAATCTGCCCTTAAAAAGAACAAGGGATTCTTGAACACTTGAGTGTTGTGCTGGACTGTAAACTTTTCAACAACGCTCTCTGAAGATATCGAGGAATGGTCTGACCTTATGCAATCAAATTCTATTAGGATCATTAAGATTATGATTAAATTTATTATTGTTATTAAAATGAAGAAATTTTAGGATAACCTTGAAACGGTTTTCGAAAAGATTGGTGTCCAATAAGGATCATCGGTGGACCAATACATGTTCAAATTTGGTACAATACCGCTTAATATAATTGGACCAAAAAAGGTTTTTATTTTAACTTCTGTAACAGCTTTTCAATTCTTAAGGTAAGAATTATTGGCCTTTTCAGGGTGTTCCCTCAAAAAATCCTTTGCAGTATCGCTTACCTTCAGAAACAATATGTTCTAAAATAGCATTGGTTAAGTAAGCTTCAAAAAAGTCAAGAGTACTGTCTCCTCCTATTCTCCTATGCTGCTGTCAAACATAATATAGTTGTTGAGCTTCATAACATTCTTTTTCACTATCAGATTTTATACTTATATTACTAGATGACTCATCATAAATTTCTTCTTTAATTTTAGATTCTGTAATAAGGTCATTATTTGCTCTCTCCTCAGATAGAGAAATATTGCAGAAATTTTGATTTTTAGGAGTATTTGTAATGGATGGTGAAGGTAAAACTAATTTTGAACTGGTAAATCTTCTGACAAGGGTAGTAGTTCTTCATTTACATAATTTAAAATACTTTCAGAATCACTTAGGCTATTAAGATCAAAATCAATGTTGCAATCTACAATATCAATATCACTATCATCAAACAAAATATCAAGGATCTCATTCATATCAGTATAACTTGTTCGCTTTTTAGCCATTTTTCAAAATTAATTTTTGACCGATATATAAATGCAAATGACTAACGGTTTGAAGTCAACTTTAGAAATAATTCCTTTTTCTGATATATATTTAATGTTTTCTCAAACCCCTATAGATGTTCACGAAAATTTAAAATTATTGATTGAACCGCCAGGCCGTTCACACGTCATTTAGATTTTATGATCGCGTGACGTATACTCGCGTCTGCCCTGGTTATGTCAGCGCGTATTTTTACTACAGTTTACCATTTCTATGTAACTTTCTACATTTTTGATGAGTTCCTATAAAAGCTAAAAATATTAGTTTACAACCGTTACCAACGTTACAACCGTTACCTAACTATTTTCAATTCATGTAAACCTTAAATTTCTAAAAGTTGTTTTTAACTTAGACTGATTTATCATGTCTATATATGTAACGCATGAAATATATAACGTTCTCTTTCTCTTGTCTAATTTAATCGAATTTAAAATTTAAGCTAGAATTAACAAATGAAAACAGTTATTAAAGCAAAACAGTTTAAAAAGTAAAAGTGTAAAAAAACAGTTTATGTTTAAACGGACATTAATGTAAACAGAAAAATTTTAACAAGTAAAAGTTAAATTTAAAGAGTAAAAATTTAAAAAGTTTAATTGTCAGAATCTTGTAATTCTGATATGCGAAATCAAAAAATGAATAAATATTGAATCCACATTATAGCTAAATTAATAAGCATTTAGGTTAACATATAAAATATAATTACTGTATAAAAAATAAATAAACAAAGTTTTATTAAGTTACAATTTTCGATTGCCGTTAACAATAATGGGTCTTCTAAAAATAATTACTTCGAAACTTAAATATCAAAGAATTATAAAATACAGCCATTTAATAAATTTAGATTGTCTGATTTTATGGTAAATTTATAACAAGGAAAAAATAATTTCAAATATCTCTAAATTCGATACTCAAAGAGCAAATCAATTAATCAAAATCAAAGTTATAAATCTCTGAACTGCTTTCTTTATTTCTTTCTTCGCTTTTTTAAATTGCTTATTTGTATTATTGAATTATTTAGTTAAGAAAACATTATTTTAGTTTTCAGCCTTATGGGCAAAAACGAAAAAAACGATAAAATATCGTGTTAAATAATATCAAGACAACTATAAACAATACCGCTTATAAATATAAGAGAGTTACGGTTTTTAAAACCGACATTTATATCTATAAATGCTAAACTACGTCTTTATGTCATTCCAGATAATTGAGTTTGGGAATTTGTCGAGTAAGAAACAGATGGCGTTGAAGCTAGTAATGTACTTTCACGAACTTCTGTAAGGAAGCTAAATAATAAAAATCAAATATATTAATATGTAAAAATTTAGGACTTAAGCTTATTATTAAAGTTATTGAAATGCGTCTCTTTTAATAACTTTAATAATAACTATTAAATAATTTCCTTATTTAATATCACTAAAATATATGTGTGTGTATGTGTGCGTGTATTTTTTTTTAAGGTAGGTCGAAATTTTGTACTTTTCTGTAAAACAATAAAAGAATTTTAGTCATGTGCTAACATTTGAGTGAACATTTTTGCTATAGAAATATGAGAATTAAGTACCAGAAGTAACTTGTATTCTCGCACCATGCAAAGGAACGTCAATTTTGTAATATATATGAAGTTAACGTTTTTGATTAATATAATATATCTGTTGTAACAATGAAATTTAAATAAAATAATGATATTGATATGTTAAATGATGTATTGCGTTGTTTATCGTTATTTATGATATATATATATATATATATATATATATATATATATATATATATATATATATATATTTATATGAATATATATATGAATATATATATGGATATATATATGGATATATATATATATATATATATATATATATATATATATATATATATATATATATATATATATATATATATATATATATATATATATAATATATGATACTGCTATGCTAAGATGTCTCTAAGGCATAGCTTTATCTTCAATTTAGCACCTCAAGTAAAAATCCTAACGGCATCCAAATATCTCAACATTTTCCAGCTGTTCGATATTTCTGCTTGCATTGACTTAGTCAAAAAACTCAACTTTTCTAAAATATCAACCAAAATGGTCAGTTTAACGATGGAATCATCAAATACAAATTTATATTTGCATTAAATCACTACATTAGCTCAAGTATCTCTTAAATATGGAAACCATGTTTGCCTCGAGTTGAACATTAAATATTTAACAGTCAAGCTATAAACCGTAGAAATGATCAATTATAGATGAATCCTAATACGGAAATTTTAAAATTTATTTTTTTTTAATACATAAAAATAAGTACAAACCAAATAAAACTAGGCAACAACAACAACAAATAATTTTATATTATTGAAATTGAGTTAAATCTCAATTAGAAATCTATCATTAAAAAATTAATGAAAAACCAGTATAACTTAGATTTGCAACTTTCAAACAAAAACAATTTACACTGTTTTGTGCAGATTCTGATTAATGATATGAAAAAAAGTTGAGTTGTTATTTTTACTTGAAATAAATTTAAGAAAACCAAAAAAATAACCCAAAAATGAAAATTCTGGAAACAGATAAACTTGTATTTTGCGTGTACAAACATATGAACAACTCAATACAAATTAGTTTTACTAATGCAGCTAAAGGAAAAAAAATACAGCTATTCATAAAGAAGTGATAAAGAAAACAGAATGAAAAAAATCGTGTATAAATCTTTCTTTTTTATATGCATCCGTAAATAATTCGTAAATTAATTACAGAAAAAAAAAAGTACTGAAAAATTAAGTAAATTAAATAAATTTTATTTTGATATAGTTCGACTCGTCTTTTTGTCAAGTTAATTTATCAAAAATGAGTTTAATACTCTCTTCTAACAAGCAATTTATTCAACTTTTAATGAAAAATTTCCGTAATTAACCATTTCTACAGCATAATATATCAATATCAAAATATCATACCATGCTATATTTAGAAATCATAAAACTTTAAACGACATTCTAATGACCCTAACTTTTTACTTTCTTAAAAAAAAAATTTATATAAAAAAATGACTTATAGTCTATATAGAAATCCCTTCAACAAATCTATATCTATATAGGAATCCATCTATATCCATCTATATCTATAGTCTCCATCTATATCTATAGTATCCATCTAAATCTATAGTCTATATAGGAATCCCTTCTATATCTATAGTATCCATCTATATCTATATATAATATCCATCTATATCTATAGTATCCATCTATATCTATAGTCTATATAGGAATCCCTTCAACAAAAAACACTCATACTTTGATATCCCCAAAATATCAAAAGACGGAGCTAACTTGGAGCTAGGTCTGCCTATTAGCAACTGAAAAACTAATATATGTCAATTATATTGACGGCAGAGTAAAGTGTAGACATGTTGTTTACACACGAAAGAAAATATTTTAAAAAAAAATTGCTTTCCGATAATTTTAAAATTTTTTCATCTTAATTCAAAATCCTTAAAGATCCTAATTTTTACCTTTCTGTATTATGCACAGTGCTCCCTCCTAATAGTACACGAACACCAGGATTATTACGATTTGTCTCAAATACTGTGATACTCTCTTCATAAGTGCATCCACCAACAATAAAAATGATAATATCTTGAGGTCTAAACCGAATATTAATTATAATTAACTTAATCTCAACTTTCATGACATTAAATTTACATTTAGTACATTTATTATTAACTTTGTCATTTAAAATGATTAAGTTTATAATATTTGTAAATTTAAAATATATTGCAATAAAAAAAAAATTCTATGATAATATTTTTTAAATTACAATATAGTATTTTTATAATATAAAATAAAATAAAATATTCTTTTATTACTTTTTATTATAAATATTTTTTTTAAATTGGAAAACAAAGACTCAACTCCAGATACAAAAAATAATAAACTCCATAAAATAAAAAATCATGTTTTAGCATTTTCCATTAGTATCGCCTGATTTTCCCCTGTTTTTGAGTACATTTTCCCTGAGTGAAAAGTATGTAATTTTCCCTGTTAATGTTGAAGGATATAGTACTTTCACAACTGAATTCATGTTTTCTAAATATTTTTTATAAGAAGTTTTTAAGAAATTAAATAGCTTTCTCTTTAATTGATAGCAACCCGTTAAAGAAATATTTTTTAGTAAAGAAAAAAGTTTAAAAAAGAAAAAAACCCATAAAAATCCAATAAATATAAGAAATATACTTTAAAATAACAGTTTCTATCTGTTTTGTACAAGGTAATGTATTTTGTTAGCAAAATGTAAAGTTTATATTTTGCTATTACTTTATCAACTTTCTCTTTTGCTTAATTTCTTTGTTTCTCTTATTTGCTTTAGAAATATATATTTTAGATCCTAGGCCTTGCTTCTCCTCAACTTCCTCAACAAATTTTACAATATGAAACTACAACCTTTCACTAGTTTTCTTCAGTTGATTTCATCTTGTTTCAGCATCTTTTACTTTAAAGCAACTTTCTTTGCTAACTCTTTTGCTTCTTTTTTATTATTGTATTTGACTGAACTTAGGCTTCTTTTGAAGTTAGCTTCTATATCTTTTATGGGGAGAATTTACACTGATGATCTTTTTGTTTGTAATTTCGAAATTATGTGGTTGAAGATTATTTGATAGCATATGATTTTTAACTAAACGTCTTGCAGTTATTGAATTTTCATTTAAATTTTGTTCCAGTTCTTCCTAACCAATCTACATAAATATGGTGTTGTAACCAATCTTTTTAAAAATAGGTCTTTTCTGAAGCCATGTCTCATATTATTATGTCTGTGGCTATTGGTCATATAATGATAAGTATGCAGTTTTGTTTTATTTTGTAATATTTATATATTACAAAATTATATATATTTAAATCAAATTTTCAAACTCTTCTTCTGCAAAACGTTATATTTGCACTTATCAAAAATTGACCATAATTTATATATTTAATTGATCATAAAATATATATATTTATATCAACCCTCGGAATTAGGGTTGGCATTCGGCAATGCCGACCTAACTGCCAACCTAAAAGTGTTTGAGGTTGGCAAATATTGCCGACCTCGTTTCTATATTTTATGGTAAGACCTTTGTATCAATTTTTTTTTGCTGACCTGATGCCGACCTCTAAAAGATTTACAATAAAAGATTTACGACCTCTAAAAGATTACAAAAAGAAGCAAAACCAATAGTTGACTCGATTCATCTAAATTCAACATAGTTACAGCAGGATTAAGCTACAAAATTTAATTGCATCTTTCATTTAAAGAATATTGAAAAAGAAAATCTAAAAGTTTAAAAAAAAAAAGTTGAGAATTTTGATGCAAAAAATGCAACAAAAAAAAAAAGGCAAAAAAAGACTAACATAAATTTGCTTAACTAGGGACTAAAGAGAATTTATGCATTTAAGATGATAAAACTTAATGTTAAAAAGATCATTTGATGCTTTCAGGTAATCAATACTACTATCAGTCAATTATAAAGAATCTGATAGACTCAAGTACATTCTAGTCAAAAAATTTGCTCGCAATTACTTGTATAGCAGGTTACTTGCAGTTGAGGCTTTAAAAGCCCTCTTTTCATAACAAATTAAACTTTGACATCAAGACCTACGTGACTGAATACTTGGAAAAATGATTTCACCCTCTAATTTAAAAACATAAATGACCAACTTTATTTTGGCCACAACTTAAAAAAAGTAACGGATTGGTAAAAGAAAAAATGAGTCAATTTTGTTCCAAAGTATGCTGTTCTATCTAACTGTCATGAGAAGTGAGTCATCAAGAATGATAACAATTTGTTTCACTATGTATATAAAGAAAAATTTTCTTCAGAAAAATGTTTCATAACTCTCTTATGATCCAAAGTGACATTAATAGTAATAGTAATAGTAGTAGTAGTAGTAGTAGTAGTAGTAGTAGTAGTAGTAGTAGTAGTAGTAGTAGTAGTAGTAGTAGTAGTAGTATATATTTGTTACAACAAAAGTAAAAATATTTGACAAAATACATATCATAGATTGTCAGATTACAGTTAGTTTTTGTGAAGCTCATATTGCAATTTTCACAAGGAAAGCTGCGAGCTGTAGTAACTTTGGAGCTTATTGAGGCTTGCTTTAAAGCTGTTGACAGTCGGAGAATCGATTACTTTATCTGGTAGCATGTTCCATGCATTGACAATGTGATTGTTAAAAAAGTGGAAGCGAGCTAAATGGTTGCTGTACTTTTCACAGTGAAGTTTTTTTCTGTGATTTGCTCTTGGTGGAATTGTGATGAAGGGAAAGTCCCAGTTGACTATGTCAATGTTATTAATAATTTTGTATTTTTGGATAAGGTCACCTCGTTTACGACATTCAACTGGAGTAGATAGGCCAAGTTTTAAATGCTGTTTCTCTAGATGCTAAATTAAAGATTAATTTTAATTTGACTAATGGTTGGAAAAATTGCACTGAGCAATAGTGAATGGAATACTGAGGAAGAGAGGCAAACAGTGTTAATATGTGCAAATAGTTTTAATAAAGGAGCATGTCTACTAGGTACCAGCAAATTTTTAACTCCAAAAAAAAAAAAAGATTTTAAGAAATTATTTTATTTATTTTTTCAGAAAAAATTTGAAAAAAATATTGCAAGTATGTTGATTTGACGTAGAGGCAATTTTAGGGGGTATGAGGTGTCTATAAATTAATAATCAAAAACTTAGGCTCTTTTAAATAATTAAATATTGTCTCCTTTTTATATTACTTAAAATGAAAAAATTAGATAATAATATAACAAAGTAGTATAAAAAAATCTAAGAAATAGATATTGTTGTGCTTAAAAGAGAGGTAATAGCTCAAAAAACATTGAAATTAAAAATGAAAATATAATAAATAAAGTTGTTGATAATTTTAAAATCGATAGATTAAATCTTATATATAAGAATAGATAATTAGTAAAACAAGAACTTAAAATCTTTGAATAAAGCTGTTTTTTGCTTGATTTGCTACTGCTTTGATTATAGAAAAATATTATTTTTAACAAAACGCTTGCTAAAGAAAATTCGAATGTGTCGATTCCTAATATTGTTGAAAATTACGCAAAGATTTGTTTAACTTAATAGACGAACAGCTAGCAATTATAGCTGATGATATTTATTCTATGAAAAAAGTTCAAACAACTTTACAACGAAACCTATTCAGTGCAAAAAAAAACAAAAAAAAAACTAGTTTAGTCCAAGGGTTTATTAGTTTTAGAGGTTTTAGAGATATCATTGATGGATGAAAACTTCATATAAAGTATTTACCAAGATGCCAACTTTGTTCTAAAAGTCAGTTTACTAGTTAACTAACTAGGTTTGTTACAAAATGTAGATGGGTTGTTGAGGCTGTTAATGGTACATTTAAATAATTTTTTGATTCTTTGGGAAAAATAAAGAACACAATGTTTCCTCATATAATGATTGATGTTAGAATAGCTGCTTCTTTGATTAACTGTTTTTATTTAAAATATATATCTGATAAAAAAAGATGGTGATATTGCAATTCTAATGAAAAATAAAATTAATTTTTGAATGAATTGGAATCATACATTTTGAATACAAAAAGCTAAAGTAAAAAGCAATTTGAACCAATTGACAATTGAAAAAAGTTTTCTATAGAGGATATGCGAAAATACATCAAATTTGATAGCTATCAGATAAAGCAAAGATACAATTATCTAGCAGAACATTTAAGTTAAAAAGAGGTTAAGGCCAACGCTCTTGACATTTTTTAAAGCGTTTGATAAAGTTTGGCATGGCGGTCTTCTCCATAAGCTTTATTCTTATGGTGTATCTGGAAACATCTTTAAGATTATTGAATCCTTCCTTTCCAATCGTAGTATAAAAGTTGTCCTTGATGAACAGCACTCTTCTTTTTATTCTGTAACCTCAGGGGTTCTCCAAGGTTCAATCCTTGCCCTATACTCTTTTTAATTTACATTAACAATCTTCCAGATATTCTCACATCTAAGGTGGCACTGTTCTCTGATGATACTACCATTTATTCTTGTCACAATAAGAAGCCAACTCCCTCTGATTGATTGCAGGGGCATCTGAGCTTGAAAAGGATTTCACTTCTGCTTCATCATGGGACTCACAGTGGCTGGTGAACTTTAATTCAGATAAAACTCATTTTTTTTCAGCCAATCATTATTGCAATAATTTAGACCTTTTTTTATATTTATGAACGGTAATGTACTCGATGAGTCTTCTACCCTTCATCTTCTAGGATTAACTCTTACTTCTGATCTTTCTTGGAAACCTTATATCAAATCCGTTGCAAAATTAGCATCTGCTAAAGTTTTATCGAGCTCGTCACTTTCTTACTCTGGATTCTATTCTCTATCTTTATAAATCTCAAATCCAGTCTTGTATAGAATACTGTTGCCATATCTGGGGCGGATCTTCTAATGATGCCATTTCTCTTTTAGACAAGGTGCAAAAACGCATTGTAAACATAGTTGGACCAGCTCTTGCAGCCAACCTTCAACCTCTGTCACATCGTTGTAATGTTGCTTCTCTTTCTCTTTTCTACAAATACTATAATGGGCACTGCTCTAAAGAGTTAGCATCTCTTGTGCCATCTACTAAAATTCATTCTCGTGTTACTAATCATTCAATTAAGTCTCATCGATTTTCTGTGACTGTTCCTAAGTGCTCCAAAAACTCTTATTCGTCTAGTTTTTTTCCTCGAACATCAGTTCTTTGGAATTTGCTTTCTTCATCTTGCTTTCCTGATTCATATAATTTGCAATCTTTTAAGTAGTCTGTCAATTGTTATCTTGCTCTACAATCTTCATCTTTTCTCTTCCAGTAACTTCCAACACTAATTAGTGGTTGCTTGCAGCCTTGTTGGAAGCGAAGATGTTTAAAAAAAAAAAAAAGTAAAATGGAAAATGTATTATCCTGATTAATAAAAATACTCAACAAATTCAAAATTTTAAATTAATTTTCGCTGAAATTCAGTAAAGACATTCAAACGCTATAAAGCATAGGCTATTTATTAAATATTTGCCAAACATCGATAGTCCAGAATCAATATTTTTTGGGCTTGTGGGTGTTTTTCTGGTTTAAGAACATGTTGTTGTTCACATTGCTAGCATAACATTTTATTGGTGTTGTAGAAAGTATTTAGAAAAACTGATTCTATTGCAAAAATAATTCTACTGCAAAGTTTTTATATCATCCATTTTGTTTATTTTTAGAAGTGTTTCAAGAAAATGAAGATGAACTAAATAAATATGATATCCTATTATCATTTATAATAGATAAACATTGTTTCAATTTTATGTTGCACAATATTTAATAATGATACAAACCACTATATATCAATATTTTTATTAAATAATCAATTTTATTTGGTAGATGATTTAAGCAATTCAATCATTATATATATATATATATATATATATATATATATATATATATATATATATATATATATATATATATATAAAAATATAAATATATAAATATAAATATATAAATATATATATATATATATAAATATATATATATATATATATATATATATAAATATATATATATATATATAATATATATATATATATATATATATATAAATATATATATATATATATAAACATATATATATAAATATATATATATATATATATAAATAAATATATACATATATAAATATATACATATATATATAAATATATATATATATATATATATATATATATAAATATATATATATAAATATATAAATATAAATATATAAATATATATATATATAAATATATATATATATATATATATATATATATATATATATATATATATATATATATATATATATATATATATATATATGTATATATATATATATATATATACATACATACATACACACAAACAAATTAATAAAAAATATACAAAATTATCATATAAGTGTGTATGCATTTAATTTTTTAAAAAATATTTTATTGTACATATATGTAAATGCACAACATAAAAGAGTATATAACAAACAAATCTTTATTACTCAATAATAAAATAAATCTCATTACTTTTCTCTTATATCATCTTTATTGAGGTAAGGATATTGTTTTTCTGATAGTTTTCCTTTAATTAAATCATCAAGAATATCGTGAATGTGAGGTTTATGTTGAGTGTAAATATTCTCTACTCCCTGAAATATCAAGCAACATCATTTACATAAATATATGTATTACATTTACATCAATATTAACAATACAAACTATATCAATATAGTCTAAACTAAGTTAAATCAATATAGTACAAACTATATCAATATAGTCTAAATTTTAAGAATCTTTGCTCAAATGTTGTTTGAAAACAATATTTTTAAGTTAACTTAGAGCACTCTCAGGAAATAAGACAGATCATAGACAATAACCATAGACAAGTTTTAAATCTTCCAAGTGATGAAACCACAATGAAAATACTCTAACCTGATTTGGAAAACCACTTAATGCTAGGAAGGTCATCTGGTTATAAAATACTGCTCCAACCTTTAATGAGACTTTGCTATCCGAAACATCTTATGCATGGTGTCCACTCAAAATTTTTTTAAAAAACCAACATTTATTACTCTATTAGGACATGTTTTTTTAGGATCTTGGCCCTGAAACCCATACCTTACTCCAGTAACAGTATTGAAAAAGCACTTAACTTTCAACATTAATGTTTTTAGCATTAATATTTTCAAAGATCATTAGTGCTACAACTTTTTGCATTAATGATCCTAAACTACAACATAATCCAAAAAACTAAAACAAATTAATAAAGCATCAACATTATTATACTCAACACCATTAAGATTTACATTTCCAGAAATAAAGACAGCAAAAGGACTTTCCAAACAAGTTTTTTTCATAGTAACTAATTTCACTAAAAACAAATGAAACTTAATGAAACTCTGAAGTCATAATAATGACAGAAGTGCAACTTCAAAGAGAGAAGTAACTTCAGGTAATAACAAAAATAAGATAGACTAAAGCAAAAGAACTAAAAAAAAGTTCCAAACCATTCCTTAATAAAAAATCAACTCAACAATTTTTTTTTCATTTTTTTTTTTTTTCTTTTTCAATTTCTCAATCTTTTATTTAGTTTTAGTACTTTTTCTTTTAATCCATTCTCTTTCATTACGTATCTCAGGACACTTATTGCTCTACAAGATCCATAAACTCAGTAGCTTTTATGCAAACTTGACTTTTTGATTTAACTTTTCAATGTCAACTGTGGCAAGCATGGATTTTGTTCATGCTGTTTTCTCATCCTCCTTTTTAGCATTATCCAACTTAATCATTACTTTTTATGAGCTGATTAAAAAAGCTTTGGCTTTAAATCATTGGCAATTAGATCCTAAAGGAGTAATATTTGTGTTAAGAGAAGAGTTTAGTTTATACTAAAAGCACCCTTTACAGCAATCTGGCCATGACTAAGTGTTGAAATTATTCTAAAATTAAAATTAATGACAAAAAACAATTCAATTTAATTGATGACACAAGCAATTAGAAAATAAAAAACAAGACAATCTTGAGAGGGAAGGAATCATCAAGACGATCCTTGAATAAAAAATTTAAAAGATTCTAGCTTTGACTTTATTATCCATAATATCTTTAAACTGAGATAACACAAAGTCACATTGTTGTGGTGTAAAAATTTTTAAATTCTTAGAGTATTTAAGTAAAGTTACAAATGACCAATTTTTATTTTATCAACTCAACCAAGGCAAAAGAGATTTCCTATGCTCTTATCGATGAATAAAACAATAAAGATATGTCACTGTTTTTCACTATGAAACAACAAACTTCTAGGCCATGTTAAAGAAATTTTTGCTCTAAGCCAATGTTATCAAATTTTTTTGTGATGTAAGATTATGATCAATATTTAAACAAAGATCTAGATTTTTCAACATTTACCAGCTTCCACATTTTTTAAGAACATCTGGTTTCACAATAACTTTAAGTAACTTTATTATTATTTCCTTTACATCAAAGTATAAACACAGAATCATTGGCTAATCTGTCTAGTATTTGGTTGGAAAAAATTCAACCATATTTGCAATGTTACAAAGAAATGTAACCAGGGAAGCATCATCGTTTTAAAGTTTCTAGCAAAAATAATTTAAAAAGAGGAGCGAAACCAAAATTTAACTTGTACAAAGTTACTGTACAATAATACTGTCTGGAAAGTTGTAAAAGCATGGCTTAAAGCATCATTTGAACGTAAAGTAAATCCAATATCCAAAGTCTTTAGCCCTAGTAACATCTAGATTTTTAACACATAAATCTAATGTCTACTTTTCTATAATTGAATCATTAGAGCTTTTAGTTTTACAAAAAAATTTCACTTTTCTTAATGCTTAATTGTATTACGTACCTTTCGCATGGTTTTTCAAGGCATAGCTCACATTTGAAAAAAGTTGACCTGCAGTAAACTACACACCTTGCTTTATAACACTGGCCAACAAAGATTTTGCGGCAAAACATTTGGGGGTCATTTTATAGGTAACTTGTTGCCCTGATTCCGAATATGACCTCCGTTTTCCTAGATTGGCTCTAGTTTTTGAGATACAGGGTGGTCACGAAAGTACATTAATAGCAACAATTTATGTTAGGTTGTAGCGTAATTCACAAAAAAAACACTAGATATATATATCAAATTGTTTATGGGGAAGTACATACAATGCTAATAGATCAAAACATTCAAATCAGTACAATGAAATCACAATTAATGCATTAAAAATCGGTGTCTGTATGATTGTCTTTTGTGTGGAGAATGTGGACAATTACGTTGAAGGCTCCAACAATAGTCAGCCATCATGTGTGTATCCAATCTTCCTTGGTATCTTTCTTCCATTACCTTGATATCTTGATGGAACCTCTCCCCTTGTTCCTCACTATAACTTCCTAGATTATCGGGAAACCGATCTAAGTGACTATGTAGAAAGTGAACTTTTATGCTCATATTAGCTTTCAATGTTTTGAAGTCTGAAAACATTTTCTGTACGATTTCTTCATAGTTAAGAGATTTATGGTTGCCCAAAAAGTTATGAACAACCAAGACAAAACTTTTCCAGGCAGATGCTTCAATATCTGTCATTGTATATAGGAACTGCTCATCCTTGATGATTTGGCAAATTTGAGGGCCGCTAAAGATTCCAGCTTTGATTTTCTCCATACTCAAGCCTGGAAAAAATCTGCAAATATATTTGAAACATTGACCATCTTTGTCTAGGGCTCTTACAAATTGCTTCATCAGTTCTAGTTTGATGTTGAGTGGTGGGAAAATAATTTTTCCCCTGTCTACCAGTGGTTCGTTAATGATATTTGATGCACCTACAGTCATATTTTCCCTTACAGGCCATACCACCTTTTTCCAGTGGTCTTCTTTAGCCCTACTATCCCACAAACATATGAAGCAAGGGTACTTAGTATATCCACTTTGCTGCCCTAGTAAGAAGTTTACCATCTTTAAATCAACACATATAGACCACTGGTGCTCATTGTATCTAAGCTTCTGCAACATCATTCTTATATTTTCATATTCCTCTTTCAGTTTTGTTGAGTGAAGTATTGGGATGGATGCATAACTATTGCTATTGTGCAATAAAACACACTTCAAACTTCTCATCGAACTATCTATAAACAATCGCCAATCTTCTGGTCGGTATTCAGGTAATCCCATTTGGAGGAGGAGTCCAGGGATGTTCCTACAGTATACTATTTTTTCTTCTTGAATGAAATATGGAAGAAGTGCTGCCTCTCTTGTCCGAAAAAAAGTTATTTTACATTCGGCCTTCAAACTGTTCTTTTCACTTAGTCTAGATGCTAAAAGCTCAGAATCTTGCTTGGATAGACTTAAGTCTCGTACTAAATCATTGATCTCTTCCTGGGAGAACTGTTGCTGTTTAGAAGTACTGTCTTCATATTCACTACCACTATCTGCATGTTCGCACACCAAATTCTGCACATCTTCTTCATCAGACACTGTTAGATCTGGGAGTGTAGTGAACACTGGAATGGGGACATCGTCTGAGTGTGGTACAGGTCGCCTTGCTGATTCCAAATCCGGATACTCAAATTTACGTTTCTTGAAACGATTGATACCTTTCACATTAACCAAACAAAAATAACAGTCACTGTCGTGATTCTTTTGCTCCCGCCATACCATAGGCACACCAAATTTTAAACCTTTTCTTTGTCCATTTTTCCACTGACGTAGATTTTCGACACACGTTTTACATACAATATGGGGAGCCCAAGACTTATCTTGGTCTCCGAGTTTCATTCCAAAGTATGCCAGATATGCTTGCTTCACAAAGTTAGTAATATTTCTTCTTTGGCTCTCCTGGCAATATTCACCACAGATGTGGCAGAATGCATTGGGGTTATTCAAACATCCTCTTCCTGAAGAACTCATTGTGTTCTAAAAACAGGAAAAAGTATATATATATATATATATATATATATATATATATATATATATATATATATATATATATATATATATATATATATATATATATATATATATATATATATATATATAAAGGTATGCCCTTTAAAAAGAAATAAAACTATTTTACTGTAAAATATGCATGACAAAGATATTTGTATAAGAATATATCTGGAACACCCTGTATCTCAAGAACTAGAGCCCATCGTGGAAAACTAATGTCATTTCTGAAATCAGCACACCCGATATACTATAAATTCGTAAAAATATCCTCGGCAGCAAAAAATATATTTTTTTTTGTTGGCCAGTGTAATCATTTTTAAGACCTTTTGTTAGCCATTCTTTAATGTTATCATCGCTCACCCAGCATTCTACCGTAAACTGTCTTTGATTCATCCCTTTTTAATTTTTTTTATATTAACTCCATATTTATATTAACTAAAATAATTCTACTAATTTTAATATAAAACTTTATAAAAAATAAATTTTGATAGTAAGATTTAAAATAACATTAAAATCCAATGTTTATAGAACAACTTATAGAACACAAATTAATCTGCTCAAAAGCAAATATTTTTAGCTAAAAAAAAAAAAAATTCCAGTTTTTCCATCATGTTTTTAAAAAACAGCCTTTTTTCCCGTTTTTTTTAAAGCAGGATAAACACCCTTGGTAAAATATTTGTTGGTAAAACCTGACATTTTTCC